CCCATCCATATTCCCTAAGGTGGTATTATCATCCCGAAATGGGCAAGGGTTCTCTCATGGATTTACTAAGTTTGGGCTACAAAGGATGCGACACCTGAGGATGCCGCACGTTTCTCAAGACCAAGGTCCGCGTGTAGATGTTGTGTACGCATGTGCCTGCAAACAAAAGCCATCAGTTCCGAGCAACGTAGTGATTGTGTCAAGCAGATCGGTTGTCCGTCTTTGCTGAGAGACCATGGCAGATGCAATCAGTTCTGGTCAACCTGCTGAGAAGAAAGCCAAGTTGGTTGATCCAGCGTGGTCAGCAGACTGGGAGGCAGCGAAATCACGTTATGACCAAGCCGAACAGGAGTTGAAGCAGTTACTCAAGGAGGCTGATCCGAACCAACACTTGGTACAGCATCTTCAAGAAGCAATGCGGAATGCGCAGAAGGACAAGGAGTTGCTTTTGCGGATGCAATCCCAGCAACCAGAGGCGGCGCTCGAGCTTTCAAGCTTTCTTTAGGCATTATATGTGCTAGGTTTCCCTTCCCGGCTTATCCCCACTACTTAGCCTATTTAGTCCCCTTACGTAGTCCACGCTAGGAGGTTTGGTCCTTGCTAGGATTTATTGCTTGGTTAGTTTGGTGGTTCGGGTGCTTTCGGGTTATAGGTGATTTGGGAGTTTATGTGTGTTTGTTTCTTGTTTGCGTTGTTGTTCGTGGTCAGGAGCAGCAGGGTCTTCGAGATATGATCCGCGAAGAGTTCAACGCCTTCGCTGGACAGATTCCAGCTAAACGGGTCGCGCCAATAATCAGTGTTCGCATGGATGTTCCCCCAGATTTCCGTGTCAACGAGCACGAAGGAAGCGTCCAGTCGCATGCAATCTCTGTTTCCACTGTCGGTAAAGCAGAGGGGGTGACATCCTTTCTGCGGCAAGCCGTCGTGGGAGAGATCTTGCCCATGCCGTTCGATCTTCCAGCAGAAGCCATGCCAAGACAGTTCAACGACTTGAAAGATCTGCAAACGTTCATTCACCAGCGTCATGACTTGCA